AAAATAACTGATCGACTCATATATACACGGCGATTTCTTTCGGAAAAGATTATTTTGCATTTTAATTTGCTCTAAAAAAATTCTTTCTCTATTTCTTCATTTATCAAAATATTTATATATATATGGTAATGCATTTTTATACATTATACGTATTCATGTATTTATATATGAGACAAATATTTTGAAAATGTATTTCATTGTAATTATTATTTTTTTATAATAATTGTAGATACATTTTTTTCGACTTTTTAATTTTAAACAAATATACTACGGGTATTTTTTTTTTGATTGAAAAGAAAAAGAAAACAATTCGATCGTGTGTTATAAAGGTATACTTTTGAAAAGGGATCTTTGGTTTTTGTATCCCAAAAACAATGAATTGAACTATGAAGCATGTTATTATTATGCATGTCTACGCGAATTAAGTGAACCAATCAAAATCTAAGTTGCATGAGCATGTTCTCTTCTTTCACCCACCACCCTCTTGTCAACCCCAAATATATAAGCATTTAACTTAGACAATTAAGCTTAAATAAAAATAAATAAATAAATAATAATAATAATAGTAATAATAATAATAATAATATAATATAACAAACGAAGAAGAGTGTAGAATTTGTTTGAACGTAACAAAATATTTGTTTTTGTCTTTTTTTTTTTCATGTTTCAATAGCCCAAGAATTATCTTCAATTCCGTGTATATCATTTTAAGTAAAAATATATACTTTAAAAAATACAAAGAGAAACAAATGACAAATATATGTCGTCAAATCGAACGATCATGAACATAGGTTTACCAGTGAAGTGCGTTTCGATGTAACACTACTCTTATAAAGTCTATATTCGAGTATATAAGAAACCCCATAGCTTCAAAAAAAAAAAAAAATATACAGAGAGAGAAAAAAAAAGATAAAGGAAATAAAGAAGAAGAAGAAGGAGGAGGAGGTGTGCTTGTGCGCGTGTGTGTGTGTTTGTCTGTGTAAGTTGAAAAGGTACTTCCGGTTCTAAGCATAAACCGTATAGTATTAAGATGGTCAAAGAAAAAAGTTTTGTGAATGAGTGTTGCATTCACACATATACATGAAAATAAAATGCTAAAAAGATATAGCAATAGATAAAGAAAGAAAAAATAAAGAAATAGAGAGAGAGAGAGAGAGAAACTTATACAGGGTGCTTCATTAAACTCGATCAATAAAATAAAATAAAAAAACGATTAATCTTTCAAGCCTTAAAAGAAGAAGACAATAAACGGGGGTAATGGGCAGGGGGAGGAGGGGGACGATGTGTTCCTTATCTTTTCAAATTTTTATTCTTCGTTCTTTATTTCATTTCGTGTGTTGTGTCTTTTTATTTTATTCTTTTTATATATTTTTTTTTTTTATTACTCTTTCCTTCAAGGTTACTCATTTCCCAAAGTCGCAAAGCTTTTTATTATTCGAGATTACGCGAGTGGAATAATACACAATCGAAAAAGTATTCATTTGGAAGTATCAAGTTTTAAAATGGAACACCCCTTTTATATAAGAAGAAGAAGAAGAAGAAGAAGAAGAAAAAAGGGTAGGACCGAAAGAAAGTTTTAATTAGCGCAAGTTTTATTCCATTTATCTGCGTGCCCCTGTTGAAAAGTAACAACAACACCTCTCCCCTCCCCTTTTCCCACGCCCTCTCTTCGAATGGGGGGGGGGTGGGTAGATAGGTAACCGGCACGAGGATCCTCTTTATCTGAAGAAATAAAATTCTCTCTCTTTCTTCTTCTTTTTTTTTGGGACAAAAGAAAAGAAAAAAAAATATAATCTAAATAACCGAATTAAACAGCACAAGATATAATAAAAAAAAAAAAAGAAAAAGATAAAAGAAATAAAGAGAGAGAGAGAGAGAGAGAGAGAGAGAGAGAGAGAGAGAGAGAAAAAAAGATTGAGAGCATCGATACGGTATTGCCATAATAGGGGTTGATACGCATAAGTTTCCAGAAAACTTGAAGTTTCTTGAAGTGGTGAAATGAGAATAAAGAGGGGAAAAAAGAAGAAGAAGAAGAGGAAGAAAGAAGAAAGAAGAAAGAAGAAAGAAATGGAGGTGAAATAAGGTGGTGGAAGAATGGGTGAGGTGAGATGAGGGGCGCAGGGAGGATGTTGTTGAAGAAGCTAAAGGAGAAAGATAAGACGACGAAGGAGGAAAGGTGGAACGGGGGAAAGGAATAGGGGTGATAGGACTGAGAGAACGAAATGGGCTACGATGCCACCCCCAACCCACCCCGGCAGGGGGGAGGGAGTAGAAATAAACGAGGTGTGCTAGGTAGTAGACTGGACCCGAACCTCCTGATCTCGACAATGGCCGACAATAGAACGTCGACTATGGTTTTGCATATGAAAGAGGAACGAGAATGGAGTCAGCCAAAGATAGATGCACCCTTCGCGATATTATATCTGACTCTTCTCTTCTCCCTTAGCATATATATATATATATATATATATATATATATATATATATATATATATTTCTTTCTAACACACATAGACACGAGTATAAGAGAGAGTTGGTAGTGGTGGAGGTGGTGGCGGTAGGTTTCTGTCTATATTTTACTCTTCTCTCTCTCTCTTTTTTTTTTCTCCGTGAGTCTTTCCGTTTATCCTATGAGGAGGGGTCTCTTACCAACGAGGAAGAGTGGGACGATCGTAAATCGAAAATATCCGGAAAGGGAGACCCACCGAGCAAAGAGGATAAACCTTCTCGAGATTCTTTATCTCTTCTAACGAGCCTCTTCTTCTTCTTCTTTTTCTTTTTTTTATTTTTCTTATTCTTTTTTTTGGCCAAACTTTATTCTTTTACCAGCGTGTCCTGTATTTTCCTACGTCATTATTTCATTCATTCATTTTTTTCTCTCTTTTATTGATTTATTTTAATATTAATATTATTTTGATTATTATAATCAATCAAATTATATATTCACACACACATTTATTGTATAGAAGGAAATGTGTGTTATTACATTGTATTTTTTGTATATCTCTTTTTTTTGGATCATATTGCAACACTTCAAATAATATTTTTGCGTTACCTGATTCGATAGTCAGATCATAGAACCTTTTGTAATATCCAAAGTGTCACGTTTCAGTTCTCGGTCATATCACCATACTAGACAAACGTCTCTTCGTCTACCCCATAAACTACCCGATCGAGGTAGTATCGATAAAATACTAGATACCCTTTCTGTTCCTTCAGTTACTTCACTTCGTACCTTCGTATCTTTCTAAGGAACTTTGTATCTATAATCGAGGAAACCTTAGCGGTTTGAAGAAAATTAATGGAAAGAAGAGAAGAGAAGAGAAGAGAAGAGAAGAGAAGAGAAGAGAAGAAGAGGAGGAGAAGGAGAAAAGTGAACAAACTAAGATATAAATATATACATACATACGTGAATACATACGTGAATACATACATTAATACTAGTTAAGTATATAGCTTTTAGTAACGTTGAAGTTTAAGTCGAAGTGCTGCTCTTCCTTTCGTCTTTTCGTCAAGAGTTTCTTCCACAAAATGACTACTACGCTATACGAATACCCATGTAACTTAAAATAACTCGAACATGTATATCGTATAATACTGCAAAAGAGGAGAAACCTAATCTTTCGGATTGTCTGCAATATTCATAATACTCTCAACATTTGAAAACTCTCTTAGTAATAAACAACAAATAAATACATCGTGCAAAAATGATTCATCCAAAATGTTGTAGTTTTTTCTAATAGAAGAATGAAGAATAAAAATAAAACTTGTAGAAATAGAATACATATATATCTACATATCTATATATAGAAAGATAGATGAAGAAAAAGAGGAAACGGAAAAGAGGAAACGGAAAAGAGGAAACGGAAAAGAAAAAGGAAAAGAAGAAGGAAAAGAGAGATCGTGAGCTTAGCATACTCCGCATAATGTATTATAAGTGGAGGCACTCACAGGGCCATCACTACCAAACACTCGAGTCCTTTCCACCCACCACCACCACCCTCTTTTTCCTCTTCTACCCCTTTTACACATCCTACACATCCTCACTTCTTACCCCACGTTCTACCAATCCCCTTCTTCTTTTCTACTTGGCAGGCAGGGATCTTCGGTTAAGGTTCTACCTTCTGTTCCCCTCTCAGGCTCTCTCACTCTCTCTCTCATTTTCTATCTATACACTCCACTTTGGAGTTATCGATAAGAACCGCAGACCTCTTTTGTCGGTTGATAGATAGCCTTTCAGAACGACGCGGAAGGTCAGATACTCGACATAGCTAGGAGTTCAATTTCGTGCCAATAATATCTATGCTACGCGAGAAAGCATGGGTGTCGATAGTAAAGGGTAAGGGTAAGGAGGGAGTGGGATACCCTAGGAGTAAGGAATGGTATGGAAAAGGGTGGTAAGGAAAAAAAAAAAAAAAAAAAAAAAAAGAAAGGAACGACGAATTGATTTTTGTGATCCCTTGTGATCGAAGAAGAGGGAAGAATAGAAGCAGCGCGTGCGTGCATTTATTTTTTTTATATTTCTCTCGTTTATTGTATAATCGTTATAGGTTGGTTCGGAGAAAACGAGAAAATTTATTTATTTTTTTACTGTTAAAAAAAAATAAAACAAAATCTTTACGCATATTTTTGTTCTTCTTTTACGCTTTGCTTTATGTTAATTTTTTCTTTCGTTATTATTATTATTATTATTATTATTATTAAGGAATGAAGAGAGATCTCTTCCCCAGGGATTGTTCAGAAAAAAATAATTATTATTTCAAGGAATATAAAAAATAAAATTTGGAATGAATGATGAAAGTATGATATTGTCTCGTGATTATAATTAAAAAGAATAAATTTTGAAAATCGTTAGAGACTAGAAAAGAAACGAAAGGAAACGAAAAAAAAAAAACGAAAAAAAAGGAAAAGAAAGATAATAAAAAAATCGTGTATAACGTAGGAAGTTAATTAGCGAGGATTAGAAAAGAGATTACTGAGAAATGGGTTTGTGAGGCCAGGTAGCGTGGATCAAGGCGGATACCAAGGCGATCTTAGCAATTCACGAACACGTCATCACGAATAACGCTCGTCTATCTGTCACGCACAATGATCAAAACACCTGGACGTTGAATATACGAGGAGCCAGGAAGGAGGATGGAGGGGTTTACATGTGCCAAGTTAACACCAATCCTATGAAAAGTCAGGTACGATTTTTTTTTCTATAAAAAATCACATTTCATTTAACTATTTGCGGCACACGGTATTTCAAATAATAAAATAATAAAATGTTGTTGCTTAGATATTTTATTGCGTTTTAAATAAAATAAAAATTATATTTATATTTTATATTATAATGTGTAAAAATATATAAAAAAAAAAATAGTAATAGTTTAATTAAATTTGTTGTTATAGGATTGGACTGAAATAATCCCAGCGTGCCTATGCGCATGCAGTTATTGCAATATTTCAAGGTGGGAATAAAAATATTCCACCTATGCATTACGGTGCATCAAAAAGGTGGGATACTTTTAATCCCACTGTGCCTCAAAGAGTTAATTCGTGACACGATTTCACTCTTTTATACGTTTTCATAACATCATATTATATTTTATTTTATTATTTTTCTTTGGTTTAAACGCGAATAGAAACATTAATCAAATTAAATATGAATCAATTTTATTTCTAATTTTTTTTTTTTTTTTTTTTTGTTATTTTTTTTTGTTTCAAACACGAATCCAACGAAGAATCGAATAAGATTTAAATGTAACTTAATTTCTTCCATTTCTCGTTGGCTGTGTGTAATATTTTATCGAATATTTTTTCGTTCACGTTTCATTAGATTATCATAATTAATATTAAGAGTGATAATTTAAAAACGGAACGAAGTTAATTAAGTTAGACGGTGAAGATAGTAAAAAAAGAAAAAATGAGAAAGAGAGAGAGAGAGAGAGATAGTAAATAAATGATGATCGATTTCTCACACAAATTACAGAGCGCCTTTCTCGAAGTAGTAATACCACCGGACATCATATCCGAGGAAACGTCCAACGATTTAATGGTTCCGGAAGGTGGTTCAGCTAAGCTGGTATGTAAGGCTAGAGGATATCCGAAACCAGAGATCGTTTGGAAACGAGAGGATGGTTCCGAGATAATATCTCGTGGTGGTTCGACTGGCGGCAGAACGAAAAGTATGAAGGAAAATTATATATAATCCATTTTACTTTCATTTTTCATTATTTCCCTTTTTTCTTTATAATAATTACAAACAGACAATAATATCAATCTTCGTCAATTTATTATATCTCATATATAAATATATAAAATAATTGAAATTAAAACAGAAACCCCCAACCCATTCCCCCCGGTAAAAATTTACATACTGACAATGTTACGCTGACGGGGAAGGGGGGGGGGCGAGGTGGATACAAAAAAAAAATAATTATTCAAATATTATATTATAATGTCATATATATATATATATATAAGAAAAGAAAAAGTAATTATTTTCAAACCGCCTTCGTTAAAATGATTGATGCAAACAATATTTTGTTGTTTCCCGCGTGGAATTTGATTTTCAGCACCAACGGCAGTAGGCGAGCTTCTAGTTTTATCAAAAATAACTAGAAGCGAAATGGGTGCATATCTTTGTATAGCGAGCAACGGAGTACCACCCTCGGTTAGCAAACGAATAATGTTGCACGTACATTGTAAGTATTATTATTAACGTTTATAATAATTAAGTAATATCATTCTAAATAATATTAATAATAATAATAATAATATATATTAGATTTTTTAGTAATAATTCATATTAGAATTAGTAATAAAACATCGATCCGATATTACTTGACAATTTCTCACGCTATTATTAAATATATATATATATATTTGTGTGCGTGTTAGTGTCTATTGTGATTCCATAGAAGATATCCGAGTAATTCCATCGAAATGGGTTAATTGTCTGCAAATACAGTCGGGAGAGTACCGAGAATTTGATCTATTGATGTATAATCCGCGTACACTCACGCTTAGAGAGGTATTCCCTACAACATTGTTGTTTCCTAATCCCGCAAACACTATTAATCATCTATTCAAGATAGTACGCAAGTTTACCAGCAGACCTCGACTATACGCCATTCGTCGTCTTTTATCGTATTTCTAATAATCCTATCATTTCACCTATAGGGTTGTTCTCTTCGTTGTAATCTTCCCTCATCCTCGCCCCACTATTTTCTGTTTTAACTGCATCGTAGTTTCTTAGTTCTTAGAATAATCGAAATGAGATGCAAAAAAAAAAGAAGGAAAAAAAAAGAAAACGAAAGAAATAAACATAAAAATAAGAATATAAGAGGTATATATATATATATATATATATATATATATATATACATAGCTATGGTAATCGCAATTTAGAGTTAACTCGCATTAAAACCCATGCCTATTCTCGTAACGATCGAACTACTCGCACCCCTTTTTTCTCTCTTTCTCTCTCTCTCTCTCTCTCTCTCTCTCTCTCTCTCTCTCTCTCTCTCTCTCGATATTATCCTTGTCCAAAACTTGCTCGAACTATACTAAAAGCAACAACAACAACAAATAAAAATAGGAAACAAAATACAAGACAAAAGTAGTAATGGGGGGTAATAGAAGAATAAAAACTACTAGCAAAAAAGCAACGGTAACGTTCCTGCTGCTACTACTATCATCCTGATACGGCAATCGTCTTCTTTTTCTTCTTCTTCTTCTTCTTTGCATAATTTCTCTCCTAGGAGAAAGAACCGGGAAGATTAGGGAAGTGGGGTTTCATTGGGGGTGGGATAGGAGTTAGATCGGGGGGGTGTTTGAGAGGATTCGCCAAGGGATAAGTTAAACAAAAATGAAACAAAACAAAACAAACCCACCTACCTCATCCCTCCCCCCGAAAGAAATAGTACTAAGAAAAGATTCGAGGTAAAATACGACTTTAATGGGATAGAAAGAGAGAATAAAGAAAAATAGTGGAAGTGAGGGTAGTTGTTTCATCGCTAAACGTAAAGATAGGAAGAAGATAGAAGAAAAAAAGAAAAAAAAAAGGAAAGAAAAAGATATAAAAGATAAAAACTAAGAAGACGATGGGGCAATAGCCCATGAATAAAAGAGAAAGAGAGAGATATATAGATAGAGATAGAATAATAAAATTACACAGTTAGAACGATATATAACGAAAGGACTGTGTGTGTGTGTGTTCACGGTTTAGCACAAGTGTGAGAAAGAATAAGAATCTTTTTGTGCAGAAGGGTAAGGGTAAGGGTTAGGGTTAGGGTAAGAGTTTGAGGATCAGTTGAAGGCTATGGTGGTTCGTTCTATCCTTCGAAAGTTGGAAGGACGATAGTGAGTTAAGCTGTGGTTACGACCTCAACCGGCCGTGTCTTAGACACCCCCTAACCGAGAGGTAATTCTTCCCCGGAAATTGGATGTACGTAGGGGCTCTTATTCTCACGGCACGATCCTTTACACCTGCCCTTTCCTCTTTAAACTAAGATAAGATCGTCATGGATAATCGAATTTCATTGAATACTTTAGCAGAACACGTTAGTTCGTTCTTTCATTCGTTACTTGCTTGCTTGCTTGGTTAGTTGGTTACTTGTTTTCTTTCTTTCATCTCAAATCCGAAATAATAATTTCATTTATTTCTATTTGTTTTTATCTAACCTATCATTTGATACATTTTATTCGACTATTTTCTTATTTAATTTATATGCGTTTTTGAATCTACGATAGTAGGGGATACTTTGCAATTGCGAGATAATTATTGCTATTTACTTTTTTTTTTTGCAATCAATTTTTTGTATCGAAATCAGATAATAAATCATTGGGTTCCTTTTAAATTTTAAGATTTATTAAATTCATTATAAATTAAAAAGAACAAAAAAAAAAGAAAAAGATTGATTAACTTGAAATAATTTTCATTTATAATATTAAAAGAGTATAGGCAATATACGATTGTTAAATTTTCATTTCTCGTCATTTGAGGATATCGATGGAAAAGTTATGGCAACGATTGAAACGAATTAAACGATAGTTTATAGAAGGATCTGAATCAATCTTATCGATGCAAGTTAAAAGGGCGGCTAGATAGATAGATAGATAGATAGATAGATAAATAGATAGATAGCGGTTGTCCTTTGCTTTGACAAAATCCAACTTTTGAGTAAGTTCAGAGCTGCAAAGTTTAATATACATGTACTATGAATACAGAGACAACTGGTAAAAGCGATCGTTTGATTGGTCTATTCGATCTTTCCTTGATCCATCGGATCATCAAGAAGTACTATTAAAAATGTCTATTTCATTTATTTTACCATTCCATTACTACTCTCTTTAATCCTTTCATTGATATTTATTTTTGAAACTTTCTTACATCCTGTAAGTTTTCTATTAGAAAACAATATCCCTTTTTAAATTCACAAATATACCATCGATTTAATATTTTAATCCACACATCTGTGTGTCATTCTTATTTAATAATAATTAATACGATCCCAATATTAAACGAATTAATTTTCTTACTTCATTTTATCAATAATATAATATAATAATATCATCGATGCTATGATACATCAAATTTTCTTTCTTATTTTAAAATTACTTATAAATTCAATTATAATATAATAACCATCCTTTCTCAAATCCAATTCTTAAACCCGATAACAAATATTTCTATCATCCTAATCAACTAATCCCATTATTCGCTAAATCATCAAATAACAATTCAATATAATTCGTACGTCTCTCAATAATTTCTACTACCGCACGTGACAAATCCAATATTATTATGTATATAACAATGAGCAATCTATTTTCATCCTTTCTCTCTCTCTCTCTCTCTCTCTCTCTCTCTCTCTCCCTCTCTCTCTCACACCCCCTCTATTTTCTTACTCCATAGAATATCGAATCGAATCGGACATAAATTCATCTTTACGCGAGTAGGTATCTACCTACCTACCTACCTACTATCCTATTTATTGTGGTGAGTTAGTTTCGGTAAGGGATACCGAAACGAAAAGAGGATCCGTACGTTATCGTATCACCGCAGAAGAACCTCCGAGTGAAATCCTTTGCTCCAATGCTTCTAGATACTACAACAACCCCTAGCTGGTGGTAAGAGGGTTGATTGTATACCATCGTAACCACCACTACCACTACTACTTCTACTTTTACCGGTTCTCTAGTAACTGGTAGGGGCAATGTAGTTGATGGTAGGAGGTGATAAAGTAGTAGGGGGTGAGGGGGGTAGGATATGGAGGGGAAAGGGGTAAAATCCTACTGCTTTCAGCAAAACCACCGGCTACGAGCTGACCAGTCAACCTCGAAACCCATTACGGGCTAGCAATGTTTCGGCTCGCAGGCTTATTTCATACCCACAATCACATCTCTGGAAAGAGAAAAAGAGAGAGATAGAGACGTTTACCTTCTCCTAAAGAACACCGACTATTATTAGCAAAGGATTTCTCTCTTTCTCTCTCTCACACTTTCATCCAATTTAAATGATTTATCTCTTCACCGCGAACCGTACCGACAAAAACCAACCTCGCGACCCATTCTTTCTTTTTCCCTTTCTCTTTCTTGGCAATTTTTATTTTTTTTTTTTTTTACCTTTATCGGGGTGATACGCCAACACCAATCCTCCTTTTTTACTTTTTTTTCTTACTTTATTTTTTACTAAACAGAGGAGAGATAAAGTATGGAAAGAAAAAATGTGCACGGTATGGGTGGGAATGGTTTTTGTAAACGGTTTTTTGCCTTTGACATTTTTTCGCGTCCAATGGTATTTAATATGATTTCATATTCTTTTTTTTCTCTTGAATATAATATTTGGATAATTAATTGAATGTAATAATATTAATAGAAATTCGGTATCATAGGATCATTATTAAAATAAATTAAATGAGTGGATTAAAGATTTAGACAATACTGTTCTTAAATCAAATAATATAATGAATACATTTACATTCTTATATAATCCAATTTGATCATTTATTTATTTATTTATTTATTTATTTGCAAGAAGAAAAAGAAAAAAGAATGAAAAAATTTATTCATTACCCCAGAATGAAATGAATAAATAATTCATCCCCTATTTCGTGTGATAATCAATATGATCATATATTAATTTGCAAAATCTATTATTCACCGAATTCTAAAAGTTGTTTTTTTCTTTTTTAAACCATAGACGTACGGATTACGAAGAATGGTCTCGCATTTCATTTGAACAATCATCATTGTCTATGATGGAATAAAAATATTCGCGTGTCGGTCGTTGGGCGTTTCCTATCGTAAGGATTGATTTATGGTTGCTTGCTCTTTCAACGTCGTATGATAACGAATTTTTAATTGCTATGTCTGTTAAAAGCGTTCGTTCGTTCTATTTTTCTTTCGGTATTTTTTTTTTCTTTTTTTTCTTTTTTTTTCTTTTTTTTCTTTTCTCTTCTACTACTTCAACTTCTTCTTCTTCTTCTTCTCCTGTTTAACAGCAAGGAAGGAATATCGTGTTCCATTCTTTCTCACGGCTTATGTTCGCTCGTTAAAACTAAAAGCGATTTTGATTAAATCGACGCACGAACCAGACCGCGTCTAAAGTTAGACTTCTTTGAATTTTTGCGATCGAGAGAAACGAAGATATGTCGAAGTGAATTCAAATTTACAATAGAAAAAGGAAAAAAGAAAAAAATAAATAATAATAATCCTAGTCTAAATGCACACGAAAAAAAAAGATATTTAAACAAATCGATATATTTGAACAAAATCAAATGCAACAAAACAAAAAGTTTCGATCGATTTTACTATGATTGTTAATAAAAGAAATTATTCTTCGTAGTATAATAAATAGATCTTCGGTGTTCTTTTAATTGAAGAAAATCCTAAGAAAATATTCGTATCCTTTTCTTAAGAATCCGGATGAGAAATCGAGGAGAGAAAGAGAAGGAGAAGAAAAGAATAAGAAAAAAAGAAAAAAGAGAAAAAAAAAAGAAAAAGAGTAGAAGGAGTGATTTTCTCTGGTAAAGCACGTCTTTTCATTCTTATCTCGTAATATCATCTTAATTTTCTATTACCTACCACCTATGTAATATCCGGCTCACATTTAGCTCCTATCACTGTCATGATCTTTATTGCGCAGGGAGACTATTACACCATGTAACACAAACACACACACACAGACACACACTCATATACATATACAAACATCTTTGGGAAATGTTATCTTTTAATAACGATAGGTACAAAGCTCTGCGAAAGTGTCGAGAAGAAAATTTGCCACTTTCCGCTTTCATCTCTCCCTCCCACTCTCCTCTCCCCCATCTCTTTTCCCATCCCTTTCTCTCCCTTTTAATTAGTTCATATAATTCTACAAAGTAAAAAAAATAAAACACACACGCAACCCATCCCGAATGAATTTTAAACGTTGAAATAACTGAAAGGATTGAAAAAAATAAATCATGCGAATCGTCGGTACGAGTGAAACTGGGATAAAAATTAAAATTTAACAAAAATAAAATATATATATATATGTATAGAGAGAGAGAGAGAGAGAGAGAGAGAGAGAGAGAGAGAGAGCGAGAGAGAGAGAGAAAAGGGGTCAATTTTATTTTATTTTTTTTTCGAACTCGCGAATATTTTCCTGCAATTTGGAGAATTTGTCAATTAATTTCGGATACACGAGAAACGCGTGAATATATATATATATATATATATATATATACACGCAAACGAATTTAACGCGTACGTGTGTGTAATCACGAGTATTCCCTGAGAATGGATTGTTTTTCGATAAACGACCGCAATAGCGAATGCGTTTAATACCTAAATAGAAACATTTTCGAGTAGTGCAATTTTCATTGTATCGAAAGCACTACTAAAATGTTATCTACCTTGGTAGGTTAACTGGTAATATCTAATGTTAATTAATTGCACATCGAATTACATTATTTTCCTTCGCGTTTAATTTATAATATTTTCTTTCTTTCACATTTTTTTTTAAACACATTTACGTTCTCGATATCATTATCTGTGTTATTTCATTTATTCGATAAATTTTCCATTTATTTTTCGTATTTATTAAAATAAGAATTACAATTATTGTTATATATAATAAATGTACGACCATTTTAAACTATTTATTAACAAAATTTAGAAATAAAAATAACAAAAATTGTTGCCAAAAAGCCAAAGAGGCGGATACTTTTCGAAAATCCACAAATCCGAGGGAGAAATCCAGAAATTCGAAAAAACATTTTCTACGAAATGAAAGTACTAGGACAATGACGACGTGGGGCGGGGGGGGGCGTTTGCAAAAGGGGGAAACTACACTAACGGGTAGTAGGATTGTAAGCAGCCTTTCTGAACCAAAAGAGCATTACAATGCTCTCTATCTCTCTTTCTCTCTCACGTTGGAAGATGTAAGCAGCATGAGTCGTTGAGTTTCGGTCAAAAGGAACGAACGAACCAACGAACGAACACATCAGAACGAAAGGATGTTAAAACCTAAGCAGCTTTTCATGAGCCGTTTACGATATTCGAAAGTAAGAACCCTAGTACACAACATCTAGGGACTTGTACTACTCGTTAATAATAAATGCTATACTGTCAAGCTTGTCGGCATTTCATTAACGTAAAAGTTCCTAGCCGATGGTTAATGAGCTAGGCAAAAACTTGAAGAGAGAGAGAGAGAGAGAAAATAATAAAAGATTAAAGTTGTTTGATATAAAATAATTTGCATATATAAGAGAGGGTGGGTGGTGTAGATTTAAATATTTTTACGGTATAATATAATAGAATCGCGTATAACAGGGTGATGGTGATACTTGAAATTGGAACAAGAAATTATATATAAATAGAAATAGAAATAAAATTAATATAGAAAAACATTGTATTATGATATAATTATATATTTGAATTGTCATGTTTTGTTAGTTTTTTTTTTTGTATATGGATGCAACGATACAACCATCTGTCAGAGTTGAATCAAATAAGAGAGAAATACCGTTTTCTCCATTGTTTTCATTTTCAAAAGCTTTACAAAACAATGATAATATTAGATAAAGATGGAAGAAATGTATATACAAGGGGTTATATGTGACATCGTGATAAATTGCAGTTCATCCGATGGTTCAAGTACCGAACCAACTTGTTGGAGCTCCAACTGCAACTAACGTCACGCTGGTCTGCCACGTAGAAGCATCACCAAAAGCCATTAATTATTGGACTCGCGAATCGGGTAAGGGCCCACACTCTCTTGTTTATCCGTATCCTTGTCCTTCGTTAACTACCGAGTAAATTTCCGATGTGTATCGCTAAAACGAATTACTAAAAACCTTGTTTTTTTCTTTTTTTTTTTCTTAGACAAAACGACCAAACGAATGATGATTTTTCTTTTTTCCCCCCATTATTAACACATTTATTATCACGTCCTTCGAATATAATTAACTATGCTTTTATTATTGAAAGAAAGAAAAAAGGTTTTAAACTAACGCAAGTATATTATAATTATTTGTCGATTATAATATTTGCATTTAATTATTGCAACAAAAAAAGTAATGAATATTATTTGATTATATTTATATATCATAAATAATATGTAATATGTAGGATGAAAAATATGAATAATTTTGTTTTCTATTAATTATTTGTTATAGGTGAAATGATCATAAGTAACAGCAAGTATTCGATGTCGGAGACAAAGACGTCATCGTATAGCGTGCAAATGAAATTAATAATAATGAATCTACAGAAACAAGATTACGGTGGTTACAGGTGCATCTCGAAAAACTCGATCGGAGACGCCGAGGGTAGCATCGGACTTTACTGTGAGTTTTCACGAATAATAATACCTTGATAACGGGGTAAAAACACGTAGTAAAGTTTTCAGCCCAGCGAAAGAACGAGAGATAGATAAAGGGTTGAAAGAATCGGAGGGAAGGTTAGGAGAGTTAGGAGGAGAAAGAGAGGGATGAAAAAGAAGAAAAAGAAGAAGAAGGAGAGATAGTTTGAGAGTTTCTTACTACGGGTCGAAACGTAAAACATTTTAAGCACCTTTTCTTCTAACCCCGGAAAGCCCCTCTCTTACACACCCTTTTCACCAACAACCATCCAATCTCATATATACAACAGCGTGGATTATTTCAAATATATAAAAACATATACAAATATTTCCATAGAACAAAAATATATTCTTAGAATATAAAATTAGAATATTTAAATGATATAATAAATAATATAACATATATATACAACAGCGTGGAAAAATAAAAAAGAAATGGAAAAGGAAATAAAATAAAATAAAATTGGAAAATAACGAGCTAGTAAGAGATCTATTATAGTATAGTATACTACATACTGCAGTAATACTGGTTTGCTAGTTAAAAGATTGATCTACCGATTGGCTTATTAGCAACGAGAGCTCGATTTATCTATTGATTTAAAGTCTTTAATCAAGTACATACTAAAATCGGATTTATGTATATATATATATATATATATATATACACACACACACATTACACATAAAATTTATATAAATACGTATACATATATCGATCTTTTTCTTTCTTACGGTTTAATACAAGATACGTGAAATGAAAAACAAAAACTGTACAGTAACGTAAATAAATAGGTAAAACGAAACAAAATAAATGGCAGTATCAATATGTATCTACCATCTATCTCTGCAGTTGCCTTCTTCTTTTTTTTGTTTTAGTTTATTTCATTTCTATTAAAAAAAAAAATTAAAAAAATCTTGTGTAATAAAGGTGAAAGAGAAAGAGAGAATAAAGAGAAATAATATTATTTTAAATCCACGCAAGTATCGGTTGTTTAATATAAAATGTAATAATCTCTCACTCTCTCTCTCTCCCTTTATATTTTAATATAGTTAAATAAAAAAAAAATGAGAAACAAAATAATTAAAAAGAAATTGCATATCGGATAGATTTCACGTGAAATTAATACCACCTTACAAATATAACAATTTTCCCCCAACCCTCTTTCAACCTTCATCCCTCCATCCCTTCCTCCCTTCTACCATTCTCCTTCTCTCTCTTTCTCTCTCTCTTTTAGCAATGTATATTTCGAATGATATAATCCTTAGCGTACAAGTTAGGTAGAAATTGAACGAGTTTCGTTGCAACAGGTTTATCGGAGTTACAATCGAAACGATTCGCGCGTTTCACGAGTAAATGTATACATCTGTCTGTGTTTGTCCAGCTGTGCGTGTGTCTGTGTGTGTATTGCGTGCTAGCGTGCTTCATCAAAAAGATTATTTTACATAGAAGAGAGGGCGGGGAAAGGCGTAAAGAGTGAAATAAAATAAAAAGTATGGAAGGGGAGAGAACGGCAAAAACATATACATACATACACACCCGCGCGCGCACGCACGTTCATACGAGAGCACGCTCATACTATCATAAAAAACAATGAATCGCAGAGAAGAGTGAAAAGTGGAATAGTTTTTGGAGTCACGCGATGAGCTAAATTCAGGTGAGATTAACGTTTGAAAAGAGGAAACGAGAAATGTATATGGGGTGTTTTCCATTTCGAATTGAATTCTTTAATTTTCTACATTCGTAGACACACACACACACAGAGAGAGAGGACACAAAACGAAGCTTCTTTCTTTTTTCTTTCATTTGTGTTTTCTATTTATTTTTATACAATATACCTGTAATAAAAAATAATTGTATTATAATAATTCACGCGTTAATATTAAAAATATTCCATCGTAAGAGTAATTTTTTAATCGTTCTTTTTTTTATCAGTAACAAATTTTACCTGGACACGAAAAAATATTCATTATTTTTATTCTGACAATCAAATTTATTAATCGTAAGAAAATGTGACAAATTTATTTTTGGAAGACGAAAGACGGTGGGTGTGTGTTGTCGTCGTTTCTCCCACAACTTAATAATAAAATTATATAAAATAATAAAACACTGACTTTTATATTAAATAAAATCAAAGAATAAAAACGGTGTGTGATAGTTATATAAGAGAAACAAACAAACTAATTAAAAAATATATATATATATATATAATTATATCAAAGAAGATAAAACTGCACAATGCAACGCTTTTAAACTGTACAAAAAAAAAAACAAAAAAGAATACGATACGTGTTTGGAACGATTAACGGTAGAAAATAAAATGAAAAAAAGAAAAGAAAAGAAAAGAATAAGTCATGTTTATCTCATAGAAAATAGCGTCACGTCGAAGATTAAAAGTCCCACGAAACAATATCTTAGCACAGCATCTTTTCCTCTTCCGTCCCCACCCCTTCACCCCATCCAGACCACCACTTCCTCTATCCTCAATTCTTACGTGTTTGTTGGTTGATATCCTTACCTAGAGTGAGAAGAAAAGGATGATGGTGTTTCTTCGTATTAGTTATCGTTTATCAGAAAAAAAAACCCGTAGAAAGAAAATCAGGAAAGGAAGAAGATTCTACTCTCCTCCTCCTCCTCCTCCTTCGATGTATATGTGTGTGTGTGTGTGTGTTTGTGTGGCTTGCCGAGCCGTACAGCAACTATAGGGAATTGGCTGAGCCATCTGTTGCCAGACATGATCGATAAAACTCTGCCAAGTGTTATCAGTGCTAAACTGCTATTTCGACGAGCTGCCGCGCACGTTTTCTCTTAGCACTTCCCCCACTTTCTATCACTACCACTACTACTACCACCACACCACTACTACTATTATTACTACTACTACTATTACACTTCGAATATTCTCGGGTTATCCTCTCGACGTATTTTCTCCACTTTTCTCTTTCATCCTCTATTTCTTTTTCTTTCTTTTTCTCCCCTCCCCCTCTCTTTTAGACATCATACATGCATACGCGTATGCACGTATGTTTTTGTCATATAGGTATGCGAACTTCATGTATATACATAGGATGGATGCATGTTTGCAAGCATAGTAAACGATTTACCTTAAACGTGTATGTATATGTATGTGTGTATACAGAGGAACACACATGCACACACACATGAAGATGATGAGAGAGAGAGAGAGAGAGAGAGAGAGAGAGAGAGAGAGAGAGAGAGAGAGAAAGAGAATACGTAAAGCTACGCGATAAATTGAATCGGGATTCCTTGTCAAAGAGGAATTCCTCTCGCGTTGGTACATGCATGTGCGCTGACGAGGAAGATAAAACACGTGTATGTATGTGTGTACGTGTTCTCTCGTGTGAACAACACACCACCGAACAGCTACCGGAAAAAAAAATAATATTCGAGGGGTTCACGGACCCAACTGCTGTCTAGAAAGCGTACACACCCCCGCCCCACACCCCCTAATTCTTTCTCTCTCGTTTATATGTTGAAATAATGTTTTTACATACTATTGTTTCGTTACGTTTTTTTTTCTAACGTTTACACGTACCTAACAACAATAAAAAAAAATAAGGGTGTGAAACATCGAGCTTTTATTTTATTTTATTTTATTTGTTTTCCATTTATTTCGTTTCGATTTCATTTATTTTTGTTTGCTTGCTTGTTGGTTGGTGTTGTATGGAAGATCGAGAATAAAGTATAAAGAGAAAATTATGAAACAATCCGGAGGTTTTCTGCACTTATGCTATTGACTGGGTCATATCATCCAAATTTGATGACTTAAATGTATTAATTTAGGTTTGAGAAATATGAATGACCTGGGGGAGTGTTGTTTATTTTAGTTTTTTAAAAATAGAGTGCGAAGGAATGTTTCAGATGCCGGCTAAAGTCGGCTGATTAAAAATGTGACGTTTCATCTTCTTCCCGTAATGTTTTTTTGAAAGGAAACCCTATTTTTCACTTTATACGGATCCAGAATACATTGGAAGATTCGTGTGCGATGAGAATTAGATTAGCATAGGAATAGAATAACGAAAATTACGATTAAAAATACTTCGAGATTAATTAGAAGTAAATGGGAAATTGAACGGAATAATTTAAAACGTGTGAACCCCTTTTAACGTATTAATAAATGAAAGGTTATTCGCGTGCTATTAATTTGTTACGTCCTGCGGTGTAACAAAGAATTGTAGTCAGCTTTTAGGTTAAGCAGTGAAACCTTTACCAAGAAGTGACCTAAATAATTGAGAATGTGTTGGCTAGTAATGAGATTTGTGGATGTGAGTTTACAAGACATTTAAATTATTAAAAACCCATTTCTAAATCTTTAGATGACAGTAAGACTTGGGTCTGGAAAATGTTCGTAATCCCCGACTGTTTAAATTTTACAATTAATAATAAACATTTTATGGGTTACACGAGCATTGTATTAGGACGTAACAAATTATGTTGTTGTAATTTACTTAACGAAAAATAACTTAAACAAAATGATTTCTTCTTCTCTTGTCTTTTTTTTGTTTGCAATTTCCAGTTCTGGAGTTACCGAAACATTCGAAAAAAATAGGCGACCGTCGTGGCGGGGACGAGAACATGAACGAATCGATGAACGAACGGGATCACAGGATCCATCATATTTATCAGGGTTCACTCAGGGAACCTGGTTCAACTATGGACCCGTCCGCCGTTGGAGGAGAAGATTCAGCTTCGTCAACTTTCTCGCCACCGGAAAGATGCTCGGCAATCATTTTATGGATCTTCCTTCATCTTGTTACTAATCGAATACTCGTATCATCTATGTAAATAATAATCCCCCGAATTTTTTATTTTGATCTCGATACGCAAATTTATCATGGTGTGGGGGATAGAAGAATATGTTTTTGTATGAGTGAGAACAAAAATTTGCTTTTAGATTAATTTGAATTTTCAAACAGTTAACAACTTTAACGCGTGAACACATTTGCATTATTGATGATGTGCAAGTTATATTTAATAATTAAATCGTTTATTATGTTGTTGTTATTGTTGTTGTTGTTGTTGTTGTCGTCGTCTTCGAGAAATCACGAATTTGTTTTTTTTTTATTTTTTGTTCTTGTTCTTGATTCTGATAAAAGGAGTAAAGTATGTGGATTAATATGATTATTGTATTATTCGATATGAATTATTTTTAAAATATTACGATTTTATATATTAAGAATATATACAATTTGTTATTTGGTATATATAATGATTATTTTCATTTGTTATTCTTTAATTTGTTATTCATCATAGTTTATAATCTTTTAGAATTCACGAAAATTGGATTGTATTAATGATTATTTATTTATTCGTTATAATTAATTATTCGAATAATTATTTATACTATTAAGTTTATACATTTCTCAACACACAGCGTTTGCTGTTAATATTATATATACTTGGCTTTTATAGAAATTAATTATTTTTATATTAATTATTTAAAATCGTTTTTAGAGTATTTTGAACAAATCGCTAATATTTATTATCTATTTTATTTTAACGATTATTGAGTGATTTAATAACAAATGAATCGATCAATTGTTTGTCTCATTACGATTACAAAATGACAAGGAAATTAGATATTGCGAACAGATTTCATTGAAATTCATTATTCGTTTATTAATTATATTTGCAGGGGAAAAAATCGATTAATCACGTCGCGTATAAATTCAATGTTCTATTATCACTATTTCTTTCTCTCTCCCTCTCTCTCTTTTTAAAATTGCATCTCTAATAATTTATATTTTCCGTAACTTATTATATAATTTCATCAATTATCCAGTAAACTCATAATTACTCTTCCTGATATTACTTTGTTATTATAAAATATATTAAATTTTAATGAAAGAAAGAAAATCGGTTATTCTCGATAAACCAATCAAGATAATCTCGGAAGAAAAAATGTATTAATTTTATTCATCAATATATCGTGATACTAATTCTTTTTATTTTCAAGCTTTGAAGGCAAACTTTAGACGATCTTCAATAAGGTACGTGTTAACTTTCTGCAACAATTGCAACTACACAATTCCCATTTAAAACGAAAATATTATTTAACATATAAAACAATATGAGACTTCTTTTTGGATGTAAATTTGTAAACAATTTAATTGCCAAAAAAAAGGAAATAAAAAAAGAAAAAGAAAAATCAATACACGTACAAACGTGGCGAGGGATGTAACTTTAAAGTTAAAGGGTGTTACAGAAGTTTGAAAAAAATTACAAAATAATAGGTCGAGGTGTATGTATATTATATACAGGATGTCAAAAAAATTTTCCTGCCAGAAAAGTGTCGCAGTATTTTACGTAAGTAAATGTTACACAAACATAAATCATTTTTAAAAGCTTTATTAAAAAAATAACGATTTCAATTATTAATCTTCGTGCATTAGCTTAGCAAATAGATTATGCTTAATTAAATTATATCGATTATGTTTGCATTTATATTATTTATAGAACATATTTTTTTCTAATTAAATCAACATCGAATATGCTGATACGTTTGATCGAAAAAAAAAAAAAAATAGACTTAGACACCCTATATGTGTATAATATAAAATGTAATATATACATGTGTATATATGTGTATATATATACATACAAGTATATTGAGGTAGAGTGTGTCTCGATGGAAAAATAACGCTCGTCTAGGGGTTTACTTACGCTCGCTGCGAATAGCAGTTTTATTTTCACATAAAAGTGGAAAAATTTCTTCGCGTGGTAGGAAACGAACCGTAGTAGAACATATAATAGAACCCAGGGTACCCGGATTGATTGTTTTACTACGTGCACCCACCTTAGAAATGAACCCGCGGTACCAACTTTCCGCCTGCGGCTCTTTTTCTGTTACTGAAGTCTACCACAATTTCGTGATACTTTAAGATAAATTCCTACCAGAGTGTGTGAGGAAGGAAACAAAAAAAAAAAAAAAAACAAAAAGTAAAATGAACGAAAGAATCAGAAAAGTATACAGTCGAGACGAGAAAAAACTCTAGTCGACCTGTACCACCACCCCTTTTCTCCAAACACCCTTTACTTTATTCTCTCCTCCATACCTCCTGGTTTATTTTTTTCTTTCTTTTTTTTTTTGTTTTTTTATTTTACGATAAGACATTTATTTTCCTATCAAAAAGTATCGTTTCTAACGAGTGTCACGAATTGGCCAACTGGGTTATACGTTCCTTATCGATTTTCTCATTTTTGTGTTGATTTCTTTTTATATATACATATCTAGGTTAAAAGTAATATAACTTTTTAAGATAAATTAATTGTTATATAGATACTTTTTTGTCGGTAATTATTACTACAATTATTTTATAGAAAGTATTATTCGATAATTATTCTATTACATTATTGGACTGATATTACGTGTAATTGTAATTTTATTTGTATTGAATTTACATATAAGGAATATAAAGTAAATTATTCAGAATATCGCGAATTCTTAGTTTTATTTTTATTATTATTATTATTATTATTATTATTATTATTATTATTATTATTATTATTATTATTATTTTCTATCTTCTGTTTTTTTTTCTTCAGCTCTTACATATTCAAGTGTTGAGAACACTCTCGTATAAACTAAAGGCGGGTTTAAAAGACGAGATTGTTATAAAGGGGAGGAAAATAAAAAGAAGAATGAAAAATTTTTGCACCTAGTATAAACAAATATAAGGAAAAGAAAAAAAACGTTATAATTCATTTCTCGCGTATTTTAGAAGAATAAAATGCATATTTTTATTTCTGTTCCTCATTTCTTTTTTGTTTTGTTTCTATATCTTTAACGCGTATCACATATTTCTAAAAAAAAGATTTCTAGATCCTCGACGACACTTTTCTCAGAAAAATTCTAATCAATATCGTTGTAATAATTTCCGCGTCAAAAAAGAAAATGAATTATTCTAATTTCGAGAAAATACACGGAACAGGTAAGATTTTAAAATAACATTTGTTTGTTTGTTTCTTTTTTCCTTTTTTTTTTTTTATTCCACAAACCTACCGTTTTCTATGCTAACATAGAATAACATAGTAATAATCTATCTCCTTTTTTATCTCATTTTAACAATCCGTCTCTCTCTCTTTCTCTTCCCTTCCCTTCCCTTTCCTTCTTCCATTTCTAATCTTCAAAGAGATGAAAATAATCTTTCTTAAAATATTTCCTGATAAAAGATTTCCGCGATCTCGCGCACACGTATCCGTTTCTCTCTCGTTTGAGGGAAAATCAAGATTCCCTCCCGATTCCCCCCCGATCCCCCTCCCGATCCCCCTCCCGTTATCCCATTCCTTCCTTCCACCCCATTTTCCTTCACTTAAACTTTCCTTTGAACTAGATTTCAATTTTCTTGTTTTTCAACTCGACGTGATTTAACTCGAATTGAATCGTTCAATATTTGTGTTGAAATAAAAATTTGGTTTTACGGGAAAAAAAGAAAAAAAAAAAAAGCAAAAGAAAGTAGAACCCCTTCGTTATATGAATTAATTAAGGGTATGGGGTGGATAATATCGGTAAGCGTTAGTATGAGACAATTTGTTAATACGAAGGAACAACGATTCGTCTTTTATCAAAATTGTTGCAAAGTTAATTACTATCCCATTTTTTGTTTAGCCACTCGATTAGGTTTGTTGATACATATAATGTAATAGATCAAAAAAAAAACCGTTCGGATAATAGTGCGTTCGTATGATTAAAAAATTTCCCATAGATGATTTATATAACGAAAGGTTCTATCGTAATATTTTCTTAAAAATATATATTCAAATTAAATGCAAATTTATATTATCCATCGAATGTTTGCGTTGGTCATTGTTTAATCATTCGTAGGTATTATGTTTTCTTTTTCTTTTTTCTTCTTCTTTTTTTATAATGAATGTTATAAAAAGAAAATTCGTGCGTTTCTCGAGGAAGGTGGAGAAAAAGTAAGAAGGAGGAAAAATATTATGAATGAAAAAAACCGATACAAGAGAGAAACGATAAAACGTGTGGCAACGTGCTGATGATAGTACAATATTTAAATAAACAATTAGTCGTATTCGTTGCTTACGCTTAACTGTTGTAAATAATGTCAAAAATTGAACATCGTATTTGTACGATGAGAGAACGAAAAAAACAGAGAGAGAGAGAGAGAGATAAAACGTAAAAAAAAGTATGCAAAAGTATTTCAAAAATTTGTTCAAGTGATTTGAACAATTAATGAAAAAACATTGGACAAATTTGATATGCTCCTAATTAAAATCTCAATTTAACAGATCAACCTTCAAGTTTAATAATTTGAACAAAAATCTTGAAAAAACAAATGAATCGATCAACGTAAGAAGCAAAATACCTAAAAGGTCTCCGAAATGAGTTGAATTAAATTTGGAAAAAAAAAATATCATCACGTTAAGAGATCCTTTTTTTTCTATTCACCCTGTAGATTTTTATAAAGTTGTTGACCCTCTAGCTCTCTCTTTCTCTCTCTCTTTCTCTCTCTGTTTCTCTATCCTTCTCGTGTGTAAATTTACTTCGAAAGCCGGTGGAAGGAAGGAAACGAAATGGAGAAGAGAGGTGAAAAAAAAAAAAAGAAAAAAAGAAAAAGCAAAAAAATATAAAAAGAAGAAAAAATAGGAAAGAATAGAGAGACGAGAAAAGAAAAGGAAATCGCAGTCCATTAATATACACATTAATGTGCCAAATCTATACACACATACACAGACAAAAGGAAACGATCAAAGCATTCACGTAATATTCTCCTACGTGGGGTGTGTATGGTCGTCTTGTTAAAAGCAGAGATCATTAGACCGTTCTTCTATTGATTTTTCTTACTTTTGTCAACGCGCGTTCTGGTATGCATGAATATGTGTACGAATATATGAATATACGTGTGCGTGTGTGCAGTGTAGTTCTTGTATGAGTGTACAATCATCTCGACGTAAATAAAAAAAAAAAAAAAAAGGAAAAGAAAAAGAAATAAATGCATAGGAAAAAAGAAATATAAATATCGTAAAAAATCATGAGAAAAATCATCATACCTAAAACGATAACTTATAGTGATAACTTTCGTTATTATCGGCTTGTATATTCGAATAAAAAAAGAAAAAAAAACATGATACGTGGGTATGCTAAGGACTCGAGAAGAAAAAAAAAAGAATGAGGGAGAAAAAATAAGAAGAAAGTTTGTCTGTAGATTGTATAAAGACGAGAGAAGAAAAAAAAAAAAA